CATGTAAACAAAGCAGTTACTGATAGTGGCATTTTGTTGAGCAGCAAGTTGGGATCTTTTATTGAGCATATGTGTGGATATCTCTTATCATCGAAGAGTGACAGCACCAACAACGCATATAAACATAGTTTTCAACGATGGAAGAAGTTCATAAATGAGCATGAGCAAAGTGAAATTCCAGCGCAACCGGTACATGTTGCTTTGTATATTACTTTTTTGCTAGATTCTGGTGCGTCATATTCTACAGTGAATAGTGCTATTTATTCGATTAAATGGATGCATGAATTTAGTGGTTATCCAGATCCTACCGAAAATTCTTTTGTGAAATCGTTACAAGAAAGAGCAAAGCGTTTAGCAAAGCGTTTAACTGGTAGGCCGGTGCACAGGAAAGATCGAGTAGACCGTCAGATGTTACAAGATTTGTGTGATTTGTATACTGACAGTACAGATGTCCTTTTATTGAGAAATTTATCTATGATTTTGATAGCTTTTGCTGGTTTTTTGAGATTTGATGAACTGAATTCTCTGAAATGCAATAATATCATTGTTGAAGAAAATCATTTAAAGCTTTTTATTGAAAAATGCAAAAACGATCAATATAGAGATGGAAATGAAGTACTTATTGCAAAAGGTATCACAAGTGATTGTCCATATGCTATGTTTCTGTGTTATACAAAAGAGGCGGAATTGATTTATGTTGTGATCATTTTCTTTTTAAGCCCGCTTTCAGAAGTAACGGTTTTTCAAAATTGATATTGAAAAACAAGAAGCTTAGTTATACTGCAGCATAGCAAAATATTGTTACTCTTTTAAAAACGGTAGCTCCAAATTTAAATATTGGTCTCCATTCTCTCAGATCAGGGGGTGCAACTGCTGCTGCAAATTTTGGTGTTAATGAAAGGTGTTTACAAAGGCACGGGCGTTGGAAATCGATGTATAGTAAAAATGTTTATGTCAAAGACTCTTTAGAAAAAAGATTACATGTATCAAAACAATTGTTGTTGTAAGTTATTTTTATATATATATTTCTTTTCTAGTCCCTTTCTCTCACTTTCTTTGGTTATGTCTATTGTCAACCTGCTCGGTGCGCTACAATGCATATTAAGGTGTTGTGTTTATATGTAAAGGTGCAAAGTGAAATGAAGTGTGGACTTACATTTTTTCGCGTTACGGAGTATAGCGAAAAATAATTGTCCTGACGACATGTAAACGAATACGAAAGTGTGGTGTTAATAAGGTAAAATTGCTATGTGGGTTTCAGCCAATGAAATGTTAGTATTGAGAAAACGTGTTCGATTATATATACGGTGGTTAGTAAGGGTTCTTTTTCTAGCGCACGCTTTCCCGAGCAAGTCATGTTTTAAAATTTATTTTTTAGATACAATAGTTGAATTTATAAAGAAAAATTTTTCAAATTAAGAATAAGCTTTTTGGATGTTTTAAACGTGAGTGAGGGTCCGCCACTCAATTTTTTCGCTTACTCTGCATTTGCCGCGGATACACAGGTTTCCATAGTTTTTTCAAAATATTTTTTATCTATGGTTTTTCCTGGGCGGCAGAGGAGGCTCTAAGGCTTAGTTTCTATTGCATCAATATAAAAGTCTATGTGTGTATATGTTTTTGCCTGTTTGTTTGTTGGCAAAATGTTATATCAGAACTTCTTTGTTATGTGTATGATGATGTATATGATATGTGATATGATGTATGTTTGAATATATTCAATACAATAAACCTGGCGTCAACCTGCTCGGTGCGCTACGATGCATATTAAGGTGTTGTGTTTATATATAAAGGTGCAAAGTGAAATGAAGTGTGGACAGTATAATGTAAACACACCCCCGTATTTAGGGGGCCATATGTACTGAATTGACCCGGCTATTCCCCAGGGGCTACACTCTCTTGAACCGGCTATCCTCCAAAAGCTGTACTGAGTTGACCCGGTCCCCCCAGGGGCTGCAATAGCTTGTCCCGGCTATCCCCCAGCTCCACTAATTTGTCCTAGATATTGACTCGGCCAACCAGGCGGCTTAATATGACCAATAGCGCGTTAAAACGGAATGTGTGAATTAAATAAGGCATGCATTTTGATAATGGACGTGACAGATAGAACCGTTGAGTATGTGGCAGACTGTGACCCGCGAGTTTTAAGGATGCCCCCTGCGACAGAAATGTTTTCATTAGAACTAGGTCAGGAATCTGCGGTAAGTATTAAGATTTTTGGAAAGAATATTTTTATATGTAAAAATATTAATATATAGGTGACATAAATACTGCGATGGTCACTGTTTTGGGGCTTTGCCTGACGGGAAGGAAAACTCGTGCTAGGGTTCAGCCAGACTGATAACTTGAGTTACTCGATAGCTTCACGTAAATGCCAATTAAAAAACAAACTTATGTATGTCTATGGGGAAGTGGAACATAATTTTCTATAAATGTGTCTAGATAATTCCTTCACTACAGATAATGTGGTTTTAAGGGGGCCGACTATAGTTTCCATTGCGCAATATTTCGCGCATCATAGTAAAATGAAGGGTATTTATTGTTTTAATGCAATTTTTATCGCTTAATTATTAAATTAAACAAAATTAAGAAATTTTAGGTATAAAAATGTAATTTCAATTTGATATAATTGGTTTTTTAACCGATTTTGTAATTGATAGGTAGGTTGACGTCGTTGCAGTGTGTATTTGACGTTATGATAATCTGTAGCTCTTAAAGAAAGGGGTAATAAAAATATTATTAAAGAAAAAGTAATAAACATACGCTCTTGAAATTTAAAACATAGAAATTTGAGAATATTTCCAATATTTGTATTATGTTTTCATGTGAATCCATTGTGTACATCATATTTTGTAATACTCTATAAAAATAGTAAAATTTGCTAATTTTTTGCATTTTGAGATGCCCCCTCTGGTAACAAGACGGTAGAATTTTGCGTTTCTTACATATATTGTATATTATAGTATTACTCATCAAATATTATAGTTTGAACAAAATGTCTTTTGTAGTATTTGTAAAATTTGCTTTAAAGTGCTAAAAATTTGGCGTTTTCCTATATAATCCTATAGTAAATCTACCTGTATTTTGAGACGGTCCCTCAAAAATACCTGGACGGTAGATTTCCCCTGTACTTTGCACACACCTCCTAACCTCATTAGCATAAATCGGAAGAATTCGGAGGTAAACGTAACGAAAGATGAACAAAATCCGTAAACATCCGAACAGCTTTCCTCGCGAGAATTCAGCGAGACCAACATGTTACAGGTGAAAATCGAGAGAGAAATTCAACATGAAAAAAGAGGTAAAACTTTATATTATCTCGATTTATAAATTTTTTAAATTGCAAAAAGTTGAAAAACAAACGTTTCTTTACCTGAAAAGTGAAAGTAGGTTTGCAGTTTCTTATTCTGTCAAGTGCTATTTCACTTTAAAGTGTCGAAACAGCACCTCTCGATTCTGTAAACATGTTTCCACGTGGAAGGGAGTAGTTGTGATGATCATGATGAACCCACATACATTGATTTAGTGAACAAAAACACTCGTAAGTGGAATTTCATTTATTTTTTCGATTACCTATAGCACGAAATGCCTAAATATTTTAGGGCATGTTTGTCAAATGCTGTTAATTGCATGTCTAAAATTGAAGAGAAAATCCAGGTGTGCTATAGTTCGTTCCTACTTGTAAGGTAATCTACTTTGCATGCATATGCAGAGTTACGCGTATAAAAGTAATTATTCTTACTTATCAATAGGTCTATGGTGAGGAACATATGTGTTTTTTCAAATACCATGAGACTAAAATTTAATTCTATCCGTACTCGTGTGTATGCACAAGAAGTTCTTCCGAATTTCCTCTACACATATACATGTGTATCTTGATAAAGGATATAAGGTTTGTTTACATTTGTTGGCAATTTTAATAGTGTCAGCTGTTTATATCAATCATGCAATTTTCATTAGAGCCTTCTGATCAAAATATGGTTGTTATTTTTTAATTTAATATCATAGAATTTATGATCAGATATTTAAATGCAGTTCTCACATACTTGTGATGTATGTATCAGGTATGAAACTTCACATATGCAGTTGTCGCCCACATGGCGCAGTGATTAGAATGTCTGCTCTAGAGTCAGGTAGTAAGGAGTCAATCCTTACGTCGCTAATTTGAATCCCACTGAGGGACGTGGAGACTGGTCCTTGGATGAGACCAGTTGGTTGGATAAACCGAGGCCCCGTGTCGCTGTAGGTGCTAGCACAAAAAAGATTCCTCCCTGCTCAAAGACCCTCACCCAAAATTTGTAGCCCTCCACCCGCAAGTGGTGGCATTTCCATATGAGTGAAAATTATTCTCGAGAGGGACATTCTAAACAACATACAATCAATCAATCACATAATTATGCAGTTTATGAAAATTTTGAATATTTCTATGTGTACCACTATTTTCCCTTTTAAAGTATATTGCCCATCTTAAAGTATCTACTGAAATAGTATAAGTATATACTAGAGGTACTGTAAGCAATGAGCTCTGACACTAAATGATACCCACAGCTAATTCCCATATGAATATAATGACTGTGTCCATGTTTTTCTATGGGAAACCCCAAATATGTGGCGGATCAAAAAGTAGAATAGAAGATGCACAATTGCAATATGTAATATAGATTCTGTGAAAGTCATCAAATATCAATATGGTATATTAGAGGAATTACAGGATAAGAGATGGGTACACCGAAGCATAACAGACGGACAGAAATACCAATTACTTAATATACCCTCCCGCTTTTCAAGCGGGGGGTATAATAAATCACATGCTTGCGTGCATCAATCTGTGTAATAAAAAGATATTTGTAATTATAATGTATTTGAAAAGATCATTAATTTACATTGATGTTTTGCATTTTTGTTTGTAAGAATACATGTATTTAATTACATATTGTTTAATTATTTCAATGTGTTAAATGAAAAGTAATTTTCTTTTTTGTTTGTCTATTGCAGGTACAGCTGTAGAGTACATTTCGAACAGCCATCTCCAGGTATGACAAAAGTTTACACAATTGACCCTATAAGGTTAAATAAACAAGCATTATTGAATTTAGCACATGCAAATGTGAAATCATTGTACGCCCAGGCTAGAAATAGTTTTCTTTCACTGCTCACTCCGGCTTTTTACCGGTCAGATCATCATAATATCACTATCCCACTAGGCTACTAGATTTAATAAAAAAGAGACTGATCCAAAACCATAGTAATAATAATAATCATGATAAATGTAATAGTTATATTTTGTTTATTTAATGTGATACACAGTTGGACATTCAATAATTGATCTAAACAAAAAAGGATTCCGAAATGACAGAACTTTGAAACAAGGCTGTCAAGTTGCTAGCCCAACTATAATTGTATTTTGTTATAGATTTACATAGATCTGACCCAAAAGACAGATGCCCCCTTCCATGTACTATCCTAGATAAAACAAAATTCACTGACCCCAGTCCAGTGGGCCTTCAATTTTTTTTGCCTTGCATTGTAAAGTCAGCTATCGAGACATTTTGTCTTTTTTGTTGTTTGTTTTTTTAATGATATGCACTATCCCACACAAATTATACACACAAGAAAAAATATTTTTTCTCCACTTTCAAAATATGGGCTTTACTGATCTTTACATGTATTCAATGTATGTCTTAATTTTCTTTTGAAGAATGATAATTTGTTGATTGAATTTAAAAATGGTCTTTAATATGTATGCACATGATAGTGATGATACTATATTAAATGCACAAAAATTATAATTTCAATAAAATAAAACAAAAAAAGCAAATGTTTAAAAAAGGAAATCAAATCAATTCATTTGTAATGTGCAATGATTGAATGTTTCTTACAGGATATACTCTGAAGACAGTGATGTGCAAGTTCAAGGTTTGCCTGTTGTGAGTATTGTATATGTAACTGTAGAGATAAAATTATAACATATTTAATATGCAACATTATTTAATTATTATCATGCTCATCATGCTGATTGTAATAGATAAATAAATAATATTAAGCATGTCCAATTACTCCAATATCTACATGTACAGGTATATAAATGTATAAAAGAATCCTGGGTAAACTTATATATATAGTTAGAGAGAGTGAGAGAGAGAGAGAGAAAAAGAAAGATGTTGATAAAAGGGTCAATATAATTGAAAATCAGGCATCAGTGATTTTTGGTTTTTTTTTAATTCTCAAAAGATTTAATCACATTCTGTTCTATTTTTAGCAGATACGAATGGGTGAAGAAATTCTCACATTATCATGCTGCCTAATAGTACATGTAAGTTCAAAGGCAGAAAAAAATTTATAAATAGAAGAGAATTTATAAATACAGTGTTGTTTGTCTGTTTCGGCAAACAATTTAATGAACTGAAAATTATGCTGATACATAATCAGCATATTATGCAAACTGTAAATGATTGCATTACATATTTTTTCTGATTTGCATGTAGTGCATGCATTGATATTTGTCAGTAACTTTCATTCATTTTTCTCTCCACATTATTGCAAATGCTTGTATTTTATTTGGATTAATTAAATGTAGAGGATTGTATTAACTTATTAATCATATTTGTAGTTCAGCTGAAACAAAACAAATTATCTGATGAAAGCTTCAACCACGAGAATCTAAGAAAGGATGTCAAGTCCAAAGAAAAGGTATGTTGATTACTAGTGATGATATGTTATTGGTGTATATAGAGTGCAGCAATGAAATAGAGAGAACAATAGTTATCCGTAGACAAAAAATTAAATCTTATTTCTTTTCAAGAATAGGCAGGTCATTATTAGTCACTCTGAGATAGTTAAGAACAGATTTAGATTTGTTCAGATCATATAGCTATAGGGTAAGGTGGGTCCACAGTGGGGGGTCAAAGTTTTATTCTGGAATATTTAAGGCTGAAGCCTAGCTTTTATCATAAAATCTATTCAATATTATCATGCGGGGCCACGATACCGGTACATCATGTTTTTTGAATGAATACATCCTAGTACAGAATCTCAGAGTCAAGGGTAATGGATGTGCCATAATTAGAAACAGAATGTTTATCTTGGAAAGTCTATGTAAATATTGGAAAATCATTTTGTTTATTTCTTGGCTTTTAAGTTAAGTAGAGATTAAAATACCTGTTATATAAGTTTTCATAATTTAAATTCCTATTTTATGAAGACTTAAGTTGATATCTACATGTTTGTAAGTTAAAAAAAGCTACAATTTTCAGAAAGAAAGCAATATTTTGGGGTTATAGATAAGGGGCATAACTCTTATCATGATAGTAATGATGGATTTCAGATAATATGAATGTGAAGAATGTGTACTGTTGGGAAACAAGTGAATACAGGGCAGTCTAATTAAGTACAGTTAAACAACAGTATCTTAAAATAAAAAAAAAACTTTGACTACCTAGGATACATGTATGTTGACGTTCATGACAGTATTAGAAATTGGATGAATGCATGATTTGCAAACACTTGAAATTGCATATATATATATATGATTTACTTATGTTAATTTAATTTGCTCATTTTGCACATATCTCTTTCTCATGCAGACTATTAATGAACAATGGTAGATTGACTAAGCAACTGTAAATGGCATACATGTATATAAGTTTTATATACTCTGTATAGAGTTTAACTTTGGTATATATCTTTGACAGTTGACACTGAGTGATATTTTGAACACATTGAGATATCAAAGTCATTTTAAAGTCCCTTGAACGACATTTTTTTAATATATATATATATATATATTACCCTGAATCTATTGGACATCTCAGTTTTTTTCAGCAGTCCTATGATCATTTCAAGATAGCAAGTGTGACTTTATTTTATTGATTCAATTAATTAAGAATTATAAAAATATCAATCATATACTTTTATGTTAATGCATTAACATTTTATATTTTTCAGGCCATATAACAAATGGTTGCTGAATTCATGAAGACTAGCTGGGATGATACAGTACTTTTCTACTCATATGAACCATATCTAAACATCATTTGAGGATCCTTTTCTCAGAAAAAAAAATTCGCATATTCAAAGACTCTATAGTTCATGTTTATTTGTACGTTGTTTAACATTCTTCTTGAGAAACTTTCACTCATATGGGAATGCCAACATTTGTCGGTGGAGAGCTGCAAATTTTGTCCTTTACTTGGCACACATGGCTAATTGAACAATGAGGGATCTTTTTGGTACCTACTGCAACACAGCACCTCTGTATATACAGTCTCATCTATGTCTGACTGTGGGATTTTGAACCAGCAATTTATGGATCAACTCCTTACTCATTATACTCTCGAGCAGATGCTCTTGCCACTGTGCCAAGCAGGTGACTTCATAGGTTATAAAATGATAGAATAAGATTTATAACTTAAAACTGATTTTTTTTATTCAAGCACAGTATTACAAAATGTTTGCAAAAAAGGGAGGTAATAGCTACATGTAGCTCTCACTGGTATTGCATGCTTACACTATATGAATTAAATACTGTAATTTCACATGTATTTTAAACCAGTAAAGAAAGAAACACTTGAATATTTTTACTATGAATTTTATTATAAGGTTGATTACCTTTAAAAAAAATGGAACTTTTTAAAAAAAATTGTGATTAGGAAAAAAAAATATTTAGAATGTACATGTGCACTTAATTTTGTTCATTAAAAATAGTCAAAATTTGGAGATCTTGTGAAGGGTATCTACATGTAAATACTGATTTTATAAATTTTTAATTCATTTATAAACAGCATAATTTTTATTACATGTATAACAAATGTCTGTAATATACAACTTATTTGTTGTTGAAGATTCCATTGTCTGTCTACATGAAGTGCTTAGTAAATTTCTTGTAAATAAAAACATGATTGTATGCTATAAAGTATTTGTTTTCTTTGTCTATTTTTCAATATGAGTCATGATATATAAATGGTGTGCATATCAGTTTAAATTATTTTTGTTGAATTCAGTTAACAGAAAAAAATTAATAACTGATTATGATTATGTAGATAGTTACCTTCCAGAAATATTTACATGTACTAGTAGCTGCAGATATGTAGCTTATTTGATATCAAGTACCTGTATTTATTAAACAGAAATTTAGTGAACACATTCTTATACCTAAGCAGTATTTCATACTGAAAATACAATGTGTTAATTTTTTACCTATTCAACATAAAAATTGACCAGAAGTGATCTCAATGAAATAAAACATATCTCACAATATCCCCCCCCCCAATTTTATCACAATATAAATGTATATAAATAAAAGAAACTGACTATACCATTAAAGAAAATCTTGAGTTGTCTTTCCTTGTTTCAATAAAATATCTGATGCAATGAATGCTCCCTTAGGTTCATGACCGTGAATATTAATAAGGTTGGGAGGTGTGTTGCATGTACACTGAAGTTAATGCAAGTTATATATGGTATAAAAATGAAGAGTTTCGCTATTGTAGTTTTCACACAATAAAACTATAGTCGGCCCCCTTAAATACGTTTTAAATCCCGCAATTGTCGACATGATTTTGAAAGCTGAAAAGATGGTAATTGCTGTAATACATGCGAGAAGTATAAGGGGTAGCATTTCGAGAGGATTCCGACTGATCCCGAGAACCTGAAATGATAAAGACCCTGTCCGAACAGGTGATATAAATTGACAGGTGATAGATGATACCCTGAACATAATCCAAACTTTAAAGATCCTGTACGAAAGAGAATTTCAATGGAATTAAGTTAAGAAAATCTGAGTGTTAAATGCAAGGCTAATTAATTAAGAAAATATAATAAAGTGAAAGCAGACAACAGTGTGCTGATAAAAAATCAAATTAAATTAATGCTTTGTTAACATGTATTCAGCTAATTAGATTAATGACTTGTTGAGACGTATTTTCCTAATAACTGACGATTAAGGTCTACAACTATTTAAAAAGAGAGTGATTATGGACATAACACTTTTTCTGTCTGCAATAGTCGTTTCGGATCCTGAAAATGTTGTCTACAGCTTACTTATACCACGCAGAAGAGACAATTATTAAGGAATTGCTTAAAGATAAAGAAAGTATCCAGAAAGTATACAATGGGCTGAAAAAACAAATGGGTTGAAGAATCATCCACTCGTTGAGCAGAAATAAGATGAGTGTAAGAAAGAATCGGAGATGAAAACTCTATTTAAAAGTTTTCACATTTTTTTTCTTTTTCTTTACATTTAGACTTCTCTTTTCACTATCTACAATTTCACTGTTATTTCACTGTTATAGAAGCGAGGGACTGGCGATTATGGAGATTGATCCGGAATCAGAACAATTCGCATGTATGGTATCTTCACAGAACATGTAGAAAAATTAATATTCTTTTCATATTACCAGCATTTAGCATATTTTTTCTGTACAGAGAACAAGAAGGCGCGGCGGAAATATCTCCCCAGTCATGCGCGGGACAAGATCCGGGGTGAGAGTCTAAATGATGATTCTTAAAAAATTATTATTCTCAAATGAAACTGTCATATAATCATGTATGTTGTTCAATTTATAGAAATAAGATTGTGGACCAGTCATCAAGATTCAAAAGCCCCTATTGCACGAAGTCCTTTATACGGAAGAATGAACTGAATGTGTAAATAACCTCAAAACATAAAAAAGGCATTTAACGGCATTTATATGCCCAAAATGTCAGAAAGCATTTGTATATAAAACAAATGCTAAAAGAGATGAAAATAAATTTAAACGGACGAAGCAGCTCTCCAAAGAAAAAAAAAAGAAAGTTAAAAATAATTGTGCTGTGAATTGTGTGCATGTGTTTCATCTGACAATCTTGTGTGAATTTATACTGTTTGTTGTTGTTTTCAGAATAAAGGATAGGGGATAAAATGCCAGAAATGCGAGCATCTCAAATAACAAGCGCTAGTTGGACGATCACAAAAAGTTTCACGACGATAACAAGAAAGCAGAGAAGGCGCGTGGCCTTAGCTGCAGGAAATACAACCTCCCCCAATAGAAAAAGCCTCTATCTACATCAGAGATCTACCCATCAAACTGGCAATGGGGTAGATTTAAGTTTTCCGTGGTAGGGCACAGAGGAACCTGCTCCTTGGGAAGGCGACGAGAATTTTGAAGGCAACATACATGGCACATAAAGAGTTTATTCTCGAGGAAGGAGAAAACGGCGTGGTAAAACAAGAGGCCCATGGGCCTTATAGGTCACCTGAGCATTATGCAACAACTTTCCAGTGATTGAATTTGATTCATGTTTTAAGCCAGATGCTATGGCATTCACAATTTTGAAAGAGGCATCATTGATCATCATAACTATACACTTAGCAGTTGCTTAGTTTGGTTACTTAATACCCATTGACAAGGCAGAGGAACAAAAAATACATTTCAACTAATCAGTAATATTCAGCAATAATCAGTATAGTGCCCCTACTACACATGAACCCCTGACCCTTAGGCCTAGATCCACACATTGCACAATTTTTGAAAAGGCATCCTTGCTTTTCAAAAATATTTGATTATAATTTAATTAATACCTAGGAGCAGATTTCAAACAATTCATTCATTTTCAGTCTATAAGTATAGCCCCCCCCTCTCTATGGTACCCCCTGACCATGGGGCCTTGAAATTCACAATTTTGGAAGATAACGGTCCTTGTTCGTAACTATATAGGTAATTCAACTGCTTAAAACCCAGGAGCAGAGAAGAAAATTTTCAAAGATTTTATGTATTTCACTATAATCAATAGAGCCCCCCCCCCCTCCCCTAACACCAGAACCTTGACCCTAGGGCCCTAAAATTCACAATTGTGGTAGAGGCACTCTTGCTCATTATAACTATGCATTTAGTTTGTTTATTTAATACCTAGGAGCAGAGAAGAAGATATTCAAAGAATTCATGAATTTTCACTACATAATAAATAGAGCCCCCCCCCCCCCCCAACACAAGAACCTCTGACCCTGGGGCTTTAAAATTCACAATTTCGGTAGAGGCACTCTTGCTCATTATAACTATGCATTTAGTTTATTTAATACCTAGGAGCAAAGAAGAAGATTTTCAAATAATTCATGTATTTTCACTATATAATCAATAGAGCCCCCCCCCCCCCTTAACACCAGAACCCCTGACCTTGAGGTCCTAAAATTCAAAATTTTGGTAAAGGAACTCTTACTCATCATAACCATGCACTTAGTTAATCTATTTAATAACCAGGAGCAGAGAAGATTTTTAAAGAATTCATGTATTTTCACTATATAATCAATAGAGCCCCCCCCCCCCTTATACAAGAACCTATGACCCTGGAGCTTTAAAATTCACAATTTTAGTAGAGGCACTCTTGCCCATCATAACTATGTACTTAGTTAGTTTATTTTATACCTAGGAGTAGAGAAGAAGATTTTTAAAGAAATAATGTATTGTCAATATATAATTAATAGAGCCCCGCCCTAACACCAGAACCTCTGAACCTGGGGCTTTAAAATTCACAATTTTAGTAAAGGCACTCTTGCTCATTATAACTATGCACTTAGTTAGTTTATTTAATACCTATGAGCAGAGCAGAAGACTTTCAAAGAATTCATGTATTTTCGATTTATAATCAATAGAGCCCCCCCCCCCCCCCCAACATTAGAACCCCTGACCCTGGGGCCATAAAATTCACAATTTTGGTAGAGGTGCTCTTGCTCATCATAACTATGTAAGTAGTTTGTTTATTTAATAAACAGGAGCAGAGAAGAAGATTTTCAAAGAAATAATGCATTTTCACTACATACTTATTTAGCCCAACCCTAGCACTAGAACCCCTGACCCCAGGGCCATGAATTTCACAATTTTGGTAGAGGACTCATTGCTGATTACAATCATGCAAACAGTTTGACTGCTTGATGTCCAGGAGTAAAGAAGAAGATTTTTAAAGATTGCATAAATTTTAGTGGTTTTAGCCCAACCCCTCAGGCCCCAGGGGGGCAGGGATCATGAAATTCACAATTTTTGTTCCCCTTCACCCATAGATGCTTTGTGCCAAATTTGGTTGAAATTGGTTCAGTGGTTGCAGAGAAGAAGCTGAAAATGTTCAAATGTTAACGCACGACGAACGACGAACGACGACGGACGAAAACAGATAGCAATAGGTCACCTGAGTTTAGGTGACCTAAAAAGACCAATAACTTCCCAGCGGATAATTCGTTGTCTGCCGCAGACATAATCTCTACAGTAGAGAAAATTACAGAGGAGGAAAAAATGTCCGTCAGATTTATATATCTGTTGGATTTATCTTGCAGAATGTTGAGACGGAAGAGTATCGTTATTTCATACCTGATAGAAATG